GAATTATATATATTTAAGTAGTAGTTGTATCAACATCTGCACAAACTGATTTGCATATAAAATTAAATGAATTAAGTCTAATTCAAATAGTTTTTCAATGTTTATTGTCATGTAACAAAAAGATGAACGTGAAATTCTAAAGTCTGATGTTTTATGTTCTCTTACAGAGTAAAAGTATGATGAACGTGTCAAAATAAGAAAATAAATACATGACAACTGTGCATGTTGATTTGGTACATTTGTCCAAAACTTTGTTAAAAATTTTTATACTTTGTTTCATAATGGCATTAACTTTTAATAAGGGTCGCATTTCTGAACATGTAAGACTCACCGGTTTCGTTCCAGTGGGAAGTATGAAGAAAAATGACTCGGTCCATCCCAGAAAAAATGCTCAATTTTTGCTGTCCATTTTAAAAAATTTTGATGCAACTATTTGTTTTTATTTATTTATGTATTTATTTGTATTTGTGTCTGTTAACTCTTCAGTTTCTCTCCCCTTCCCCATCTCAACTATCACTTTTCTCCATCCTTTCTCACCCGCCTGTATATTTCCTTCTCTTTTCCTGTTTTTCTCCCCTTCTCCATCCTTTCCTCTGTCTCAAAACGCTTCAAAACACACAGCAACACTTCTCAATACCCCTTGACTTGCATCCACCATAGATTTTGCATGTAAACCCGATGCCCCTGACACTCAAATCTTGTTAGGTCCGAACGCAACATCACATGCGCTCATTTCAGTTTTAAGTGGTGACCTTTGTTTTGGCATCATGTACGGGTCCGCATGAGACACCATTCCGGTCCGGATCCGGACCCAGGTCCGCCTATTAGTGACCACTGCATTATAATGTCTCACCTGGAGGCTCTGAAAGTGATAAAACATGTAAGTTTTAAAAAAAATAAAAGGCACAAAACTGATCAGTTTGACCTGTTTACAAGACAAATGATCGCTCAGTCTTAGGGCCATGTCTCATTCCAGTCAACATAACATAAATTCCGCTATTTATTCCAGAAATATCTGTCTCTGTAGACCTGAGTTCAGTGTAGTTAAACATGCTATAACGGTGTGCTAGTGCTCAGTCATTATTACTTGAGAATTTGATGGGATCAATGTGCACCAGAAATATTATTCTGAAAAACACAAAGAACAGCAAAAATAAAATTAATAATAACAGGAAGAAGAAAAAAACAACAAAATTATTTTTGCAGAAATTGTGTTCCAGTGATTTAGTTGTTTTATTAAAGAAAGGGGGTGTCTTATAGAGATAGAGCTTTTGATGTGATAATAATTCAGATATCTTGCTCCATCCACTGTAATATTTATGAATCTAATAATCTGCACAGCAATGCATTATTGTTTAAAACAAATAAAAACAATAAAAGCAAAGCATGTACTGTATATTTCCAGAACAGTTTCCTCCGTGTCTATGAATTTTACAACTATTCACACAGACAGAAGGTAACTCAGAAAATTTTGACATTCAACCTGATGAAGTTAGTAAAGGCTGACTAGTTTTTACCTTTAAAAAATAAATGGAAAACTTATTAGAGATTTTTTTATTACAGCTGCTGTTTTCTGGTTTATAAAACAACTGGTTTCAGCCTCTTGAGTCCCTGAGCTGTTTGTGTAGACAGCCAGCCTCATGTGCAATGTAAGCTTTCAGTTTTTGCTTTTGCATCATCTTTTATTCACACTCATAGCCTTGAAATGTACACCAAAGTGTGCACATGGGTGATCCTTTAATTGGAGATACATTTGGTGTCCAGGATCAATATTTTTGGCCTACTTCGTTGGGAATTTTTCATTTTTTTACATTTTAATAATTTATTGGTTATTTGTATGGATCATAATATGTCACAATTCATAACATTGATATAATTACATTTAAATGTGGATCTTGTTCACGAATGGGGGAAGAACGGAGTGGGAGATCGACAGGCGGATTGGTGCAGCATCTGCTGTAAAG